TCATAAATCATTTTAAAAATAATTTTTTTTATCTCAATTACTATTCATTTTACATTTTAAGCCTATGATTCTATTTGTTTTCCTTTTCTGATATAACTCAGGGATCCAAAATGTAATTTTTTTAGGTAAAATTGTAAAAATAAATACTTCACGGGCTGGCAAAATTAAAATTAAAATCTTCACCACTGTATGCACGAGGACATATTCATTTAGAAATTTAATAAAATGAAAGCTTATTTGTCTCATTTGCGAGCTTTTCAGGTTCATTTTAGCAGGCGTACGCTGTAGAAGGTCACCAATTCACCTGTAAAGAGAAAATTTACCCTGCCTAATTTTTTCCTGTCCTTCAGGTGCAGCCTGTCACCCTGCTTTGCATTTTAATGAAGACTATGTGTTTATTAAATCTTAGAGTGCCCCGTTTTTTTTTTTTTTTAAAGCTCTGAAATAAATGGTTATGGGTTGCTTGGCAACGGGACTTGATCAAACATGCTTCCCCATCCCCCAATTTATAGCTTATAATTCATCATCTATATTCAGGCATCAGTCCTTAATTAGATTAAGATGCATAACACTTCCCCCTTTCTAAATGAAAGCATATCCACCCAGACGAATTAACACATTCATATGAAAGCACGACAATTAAACTTTAAAATGTGAAACCTTTAAATTTAAGATAAATAGGGGTTTATAGCAAAGATAAAACCAAAATATAACTAAAGTAATAATATAACAGTACAATTTTATTTTTGATTTCAAACCTGTTTTGAAAAATTTACTTTTAACTAAACAGGACAAACCTAATTGAAATAAATGTTTTTAATTCTAAGAAATAAGAACAAATACTGACTTTATAGGAGATACCCAAGCTTTATTTTCCAAGCAAAGGTCAGCCATTATTATTATTAAACCTTAAGGTTAAGTATTCAAATTTATCCCAGAAAGATTTTACTTTATTTAAAAATTTTTTGTACTCTCCACCCAAACCTAGGCCGTAATTTGCAAATGAAAGACTTTGTTTTTTTTTTTGTTTAAATATCTAATTCATTAAGCTAAAGGAAGAGAGAAAAGATAAGTGCTTTTGCACTGTTTGCTTTAGCTTCAAGGTAAAGTTAAAATAGGTCATCAAATTTCATTACAATTCTCAAAGGTGCGACCGTGGAGAAGGAAGAGATGTGTGCATGGCAAACCAAGGACAGTTGGATTTGCTACGAAGAACACGGTCTCTTTGCTCTCCCTGGAGCCACAGCTTTGATTGAGCGCCTGAAATGAGTTGAAATGTCACAAATCTCTGCCAGTATGCTAGAAATGAAAATTGGCCTTGTGGCGGTTTTAAGGCTCCCATTAAGAACGGGCTTAACACGTTCTGTTTAAGAGTGCCGTTGGAGTGCATCTAAAATACAACATTATTACACGTCTCCGCACACTCAAGGAAAAATGTTCCCCTGGAACTTGTCAATGCATACTGAGTCTCGGTAATATTAGGAAAAAAAGATAGAAAAAAGGCTCTGAATCTTGCTTGATGGGACAGAAGTGTAGAAATAAGCTCAGGGGAAGACGAGTTTAAATTAAATTTGCAAAAAAGCTTTGGTCAGAATGGAAGAAATCCTCATGTGACTGGTGGCATAATGCAGATTTTAATTTTTGACTTTTATCTCCTGTAAATTGGGAAAATCACAGCACATCTCATAACTCATGGATTAGAGTATGGCATATTTTTGCTTTGTCTTGTTTTATTAAAAATAATACGCCTAACTTATACATTCCTTTTATGTGCTGAATGCACTGAGTTGGTAAAACCAGACTTCTTCCTATTTAACCTTCAGTTCTCAGGTGGTTGGATATATTTATTTCAGCCAAACAGGAAAATGACTATCCTGGCTGCTTGGTATTCACATCACATAAAGTGGGTCTGTGTTCTTTATTTAGTGCCGTACTGTACAGCTGGGGAGCTGTCCAGCATGTAGCGGCAGTATGCAAATGAGTCTAGATTTGAATGGAGTGGGAAGTAGACACAAAGCTCAATTAGAGACAGAGAGAGAGAAAGAGGCGGTGGGGGAGCGTCTGGGTGGGAAAGGGGGGAGGGGGGAGGAAAATGCTTAATGCCAACCTGAGCAAAACCAGTGTACAAACATGGTGAACCACAAAGCTGCATGCAAAATAGCCAGACATATTTCCAAATTTTCCAGCCTGTTTTTCTAGGGGCTCAGACAGCTCAGCTCTGCTTTTTATTCACACCGATCTAACCGAGCAGATCCACAACATCCGTATCACACCTACAGTCGACACAAAAATAGGTTTATGGCCGACCGCGGGAAACAATACTCAGACAAATAGAAAGCCAGAGAGGCGGCGGCCATTTTGTTCTTAGGTGTCATAATTGATGCCCAGCAGCCAGGACTGTGTATCACCTCACTGTCCTTGGAGGAGGCTCTCACCTCTTGTTACCGTGGCAACGGCAAATCAATTATGGAGGGATGTGAGCAGAATATGAATATTCACATTTAAAGAGGAACGTAATCAAGATTTTCAGTGTGAAAAACATTAACACCACTTCTATGTTATGCCGGTTTGCGTGTATGTGTGTGTTTGTGGTGGTGTTGGTAGGGGGTTATATAAATTTTGCTTTACTTGAACGGTTGTGATAGAACACAAACTTGCATCTAATTGTGAAGTACGAGGGATTTCCTGCATGATTAGATTCATTCTTTTCAAGCATTAATATGATGTGCATTTTAATTCTGTGCTACTGGTTTAATAATTTTTAGGTTTCACTTTTTGTTTTGATCCCAGCCTTTAACTTTTTGGGATATGTTTACGCTTTTTCATATTTACAGACTGTAGGGTTTTGTTTTTTTTTTGTTTTTTTTTTCACCTGTTCTTTGAAAAATAGCCCAAGCTATTAAAACTCAGCTGGATGAAGATAATCTGTCATCAGCAGTTTCTAAATATTGCACAGATCTATCCAGGACCATTCTAACATAGAAATATGCTTTGATCCAAACCATTCTATTATAGGTGTGTTTAAGTTCCACCACGGCATGGTGTATGGTGTCACATTTATTTAAAAACACCCGCGAGCAAACTAAACATACTTGTTTAACTACTTCTGCCAATGGTTTATCTACCACAGCACAGCAAAATCACACATGCAAAAGAAACTGTTGCTTCAAAAGGAGAAAATTACTCTCCGTGCAAGCCAACTCCTCTTACGCGCACTCAGGATCGTGCTCGGGATCGCACGATTTTCTATCTAGTTGCCACGCTTGAGGACGGCTGCACTCTCGAAAGCGTCTTAGCCCTCGGACTGATTCCCACCATTATTTAGCTCGCAGGGGTTTTTGAAATAGATGTGACGCCATAATGGTGCTCCCACCACCCTTTCTGCCATGTGAACATTGTGTTTAGGAGCATGCGGAATGCCAGCCCTTTGACATACAGCGTTTTGCATGTAGGCCAGAATGTGTCATTGTGGACCTGCACCTTCCCTGCATATATTTGTTGTTTGCCATAAAAAACATGAGATATAATTCTTTTTGCAATTCAACAACCACTTTCTAGTCATTAGTCCATTAAGGCCAAATGTATCTATGCATAAAAAGTAGTTATCTTCTCAACACATTTACCCATCAAAGATGTGGATCTCTGTGTCTTCTTCATAGTTACCATAGTCCTTTAGTTTTGTTGGAAATCCATGTGTTGGTATGTTTGCATTTGTGACTTCCATTTTCTAATGACTGACTGAAATGACCTAATGAGATGATCAATATTTAGGATAGTGTTGTAGAAACTAGCCTGCTTTAAATGTCTCTACAACTTTATCCTTGATCTGATTGTTGTGTTCCTTGGCTTCATTATCCTGTGTGAGTAACCTAAGTTGATCTCAGGCTACCTTTGTTTTTTAAGCTTCATTTTCCTTTCTTTTTACATGTATTTATAAACATATAATCATGTAAAATCCAAATACCACACACACTGGAGATCACAGTTGTAATGTGGCAAAATGACTATATTAAAGGCTATTTACACTTTTGCCTGGAAGTGATGCTACAGAAAGCCGCAAAGACAAATAGATGGATCAGAGGTATTATTTAAATAGTCATCATGACTTGGGCCATATTACTCCTATCAAAATGGCAGATAAGTGACATATTTGAGCCATTAGTCCCTTTCCTAAGATACATGATCCCCCTCGTCTCCCCCTCTGTTATTCAAATCATGATGATCATAAATAGTTAACAAAGCCACACTATGTAAACGTTGATGCCTTACACAGCATCATCAGCAGAGTTTTAGCTGACTACTTTAGATCTTCAATGACCTGCACTGCAGTCATTTCACATATAGGTGAGGTTTAACAGTCAGGAATTCCGGGTGGCTTTCAGGTGATGGAGGTTACCTAATCAGGGGAGACTGATAACATATTCACTGTGATTAGCTATAAAAAACTTGCAATCCAATGGATTAGGTGAGTTTCTCAAGTTTTCCTGTGCACTGATTTATTTGCATCATCAAATCAGCTGCTCTCCAGGTATGTGCAATGTAAGCATGGCGCATGGATCATCATAGCAGCAAAGAATACAACCACGACAAACAGGGAACAGAAACAAATCTAGAACTATGGCACAGGGGGAAGAGCCAGAAATAAGTCATCACACACAATGGAATTACGCCAAAAAGAAGTGGGCACATTGTGACCAAGAGCACGAGAATCCACGCACCCAGGCTTAGTGTCTGGGTGCGCGCGCGCGCGCGCGCGCTCACACAGTGAAATTGCAACGCTCTCATCAATAATGCATCGGCACTTCATGTTTATGCAATTCACAGGGCAGGCAAGCCCATGCGATGGATACGGTGCCATCCTGATCCACGCAGTACGCACAGGCTACAAGCCACACATCCCTACACAGATCAACCCCCCCACTCAACAAACACACACACAAGTTATCTCCACCGCCTGTGGAGAAAGAGATAAAGATTATAAAACAGTCTTCAGCACATACCTGTTAAGGCACAGTTTCTCTGTGATTCTGGTTTTTCTGCAGGCTCCAAGGGCTCAGGATAACGCGCGCACTAAGGCTGCGCTTATATGCAAATTAGCGGCTCTGGCTCAATGCAGGGGCATTTATTATTCATAAATTACTCATGTTTATGCAAATGATGGGCTGATACGGAAACACTGGTGGGGGTTGAGTGGCTCAGCCTAAACATGCTGTGTGATTCGATCGCTGTTGCGCTCAGCCATCTATGATCCAGATTCAAGCATTTGACCAACAGATATATTCATGAAGCAACTGCTGTACTCTGAACTTTTCTCTGGGTAGGATTGGGAGGGATATGCTCTGTAGCAGCAAAGGCTTGGCCCTGGGCCTTAGCATGTGGTCTTGCATTATGTATGCAAAAAAAAAAAAAAAAAATGATGGTTTGTATTTCTTTATAACTCAATTTAAACAAAAGATGTATTTTGTATTGCAGAGTTTAGATTGAATAAACTGTGCAAGGAGATAGATAGATAGATAGATAGATAGATAGATAGATAGATAGATAGATAGATAGATAGATAGATAGATAGATAGATAGATAGATAGATATATTACTGCAGCTCTACACTCTGCAGTATTATTATCTTTGCATTCCACATTGCATCAAAATATCAATGCAATTCAGGTGCCAACTTGCACACTTTTTTCTGTTAACCGTTCAGTCCCTGCTCTACCAAATGGAGATTGGAAGTTGACACGACATTAGTTAAAAGGTTATGCTGTTCTCTTTGCCTGTGTTTTCCTATGGGGTCAGATAACTGTCAATGAAAAATGTATGCATAGGTGTCTTGATTTTTAAATGTAAGTCAATAAGCCAAAGTGACATTTTTTTTATTAAAGGAGCCAGGGCGCATTGTTATCCGGAAACATAGTGACAGGACCACACTGTCACACTGATATACTGTAGGATGAAGTAAGAATTATTCTTTAGAGGTTTTCCGGGTGGAATTTAAAGCAGCTGTTTTAATTTAGCTCTCAAAATGATTTTTAAATCATTTATCATTCATCCTCCTCATTTGGCTTCCAGCTTCCTCACATAGCTGCAGTCTGCCCAGCCAGTTAGTCCACAGAGCTCTCTGTAGGTTATTTTTGCTCTGGTGTGGGGTACCGTCCACTTTATTCTCTGCTGGGCATCTGGTTGTGATGTACCACTAACCTTCCCCCCTTTCTCTCTCATTCTGTGCAGTTTCTGTAAAAATAAATACAGGAATTTTGTGACATTTTGGATAATATAGACTTTTGACTTATACATGTCTTAATATCTGACTGTTTCAAATGTTTTAAATCTTTTTTAAGTTAAATTGATTTTTAAAATTTTTTATTGAATATAGCAGATAGTAAAATCTAATTAAACAATGCAGAAATATGTCGCCCCTTTTCATGGATTTACCATATATGTCCTTTATGCATTATTTTGACAACAAAAACAGATGTATCTGGAACAAATGCTTTCCCTTGGAAGTCAGATCACTGTCACGCTTTTGGTCCTGTTTAAGTTTTCTTTTTGATTTTCAATGTCCTTTGATCCATATTTTCCTTTTTTTTCTAGTTTTATTGGTTTAATTCCTATTTTGTGGTGTTTTCTGAATGTATTTGAGTTCTCAGGTATTTCTTGTTGGCCCTTCTGCACCTTCTTCAGTCAATTAATCAGCAAATCATTAAACTGAGACAACTTATTCTACCTAGTCTAGACCTTAACTGTATTGTTAAGATGAAGTGAACAGTTAGTGTGGCTTTTAAGATCTAAAATGCCCTTTTTTCATTGTTTTTTATTTGTTGTATACTTTATGCTCTCTGTATTTATGTTATACCTCAGAGTATATGCATTTCAATGAGACCTGATTATCAGAAAATAACCTTTTAAAATATAGCAACCATTATCTGTTAATATTTTTATCAAGCTCGCATCTAAATTGAAAATGTTTTGGTTCACTGTTTTTTTTATGATGAAATATTATAGTCATTAATGTAATTTTTTTTTAAGTGGCTAAAACAGAAAAAAAAAAGAAACTCAAATCAGGGTGATTTAAATTGTTGAAGTAAAAAGAACCTATTTAGTTATATACATTTATTTGAATTCATACATTTTTTTCTAGTTTGCTTCAACTTTTTAGGATTTTTTAAAATTCCACACTACCAGCTTGTGGTTTTAATGCTCTATAATGCTCTTTTTTGTTTTTCTGGACACCATCATACAATTTTATTATTGTGTACTGTTTAGAGAAAAAAAAATAAAGTTTTAGATTTTGTTGAATTGCTTTTTTATGTATTCTCTAGCTCCCACATGAACAATGTAGAGCCCTACATTATGGTAGCGTAGATATCAATATATTACGGTAGGATCATACGTCATCAATAAGCGATTTAGGCTGGCGTGTAAGAATGGCGACGTTTTAGGATTCGTGTGTTATGGTTACTTGTTTTTCTGATATAAAATAGAGACTTTAGTGTTTTAAAGGTAAGGCATGTTGTCCGAACTTATTTCATTGTTTTCACTGCAAACTAACAGCTTTTAGTTGAGCGACGCGGAGCTAGAAACACGTTAATTTCTGGATGTTGTGACTAAATCTGAGCTGTTGGTTTGCTAACATTCATATGTTTTTGGTTTATTCTTGTAACCCCCATTTCTAATGTACATATCTTTCGTGTTTTTTTTTCTCGTCCCTTTGATACAGGGGGCACCATGTTCCACAACAGCTCACAGAAGAAATTCTGGACTTTTAAAAACGAGGACGAGCTTGAGAAAATGAGATGCATGGCCAATGAAAAATTCCGTAGGAAGGCACTAGAGAGTGGAAAGGTAAGGTTAGACATCTGTACACGCAAAAATAATATTAAACGGTTTGATGTGCGGCTTTATCGCTGTTTTATGATGTGATTAATTAGCATGCTGTCAGTGAGGCTCTGTTCTTGGAGCGCTATGAAGAGGACGCGGTGTTTCGGCACTATGAGAGGAGGCTGCTGGACTTCTGCATTGCTTTTAAGCCTGTGATGCCCAAATCTGTGGTGGTAGGTTATTTGCCTCAGATTTACGCAATTCAACCTTCACACACACACACACACACACACACACACACACACACACACACACACACACACTAAAAGCCAACTGAACTGCATGTTTCTACCTTTTGCAGGGTACAGCTCTGATGTACTTCAGGAGATTCTACCTGAACAACTCAGTCATGGATTATCACCCCAGGATTATCATGTGAGTGCTGCTAATTTAGGAAAGCAGTTTGGTTGGAAGGGATTAAATTATGTTCCTTTTAAAAAATATATCTGCTTTTGATTCTTAGCGAAATTTTATTTCCATTTCACCACCCTTAATACTGGTATTATTGTCATCTTGTACAGGGTTCCTGCAGATCTTTAAAAAGCCTTAAAAGGCATTGAATTCTTGAACATAAAATCAAGGCCATAATTGGTATTAAATGTCTGAAATCACTAATCTTAAAATTGTTACCACACCATAAATAGGATTTTAGTTTTGTAATTCATATCAAACAAATATTTTTCTTACATCTACTGAACCGCTCGCTGTAACCATTATTGGTTCGTCCCTATACCAATAAAACAATAGAAAAGATGTTGCGGCCGGACCTTGGGATGATGTGCCAGTAACTTTTTATCTGGACAACATGGGGAAGTTTTAAATTCAATGAAAAATAGGCCATCCAAGAGTTTTCTGCATGGCTGAAACCACTTACAGGGAATGTAGATGAAGCACGATGGGAATCAAGGCAGTGGAGACACGTGCGAATCGTGAAACTCAAAGCGTTAACATTAAGTTATGGAGAAGCAGCAGATACTTCTCCATTCTGTTCCACGCTTGTCTCTGCAACGTCTACACAGCATCTCTCACATCACCAACAGAGCCAGTAGCACTAAATCTTGAGATTTAGTGCTACTGGCTAAATTTTTATTTCTAGTGGCATTAAAGTCTTAGGAACCCTGTTGTAATTGGTTGTCAGGATTAGTGGTTTGATCAATGTGCAAAGAGTTTAGTGGGGTCATGAAATAGCTGCACCCCTTTTAAAATGATGTGTTCTACATAGATGCTTACTTAACGTCATGATTTGGAGTTTATCATAGGGACTGAATGAATCACAAGCTACTATTAGTGTAACAGGGTAATAAAAGAATATGATTTATTAACTTTTACAGAAACATTTAAAACATAAGTAAATAGATTTATCAGAAAAAAAACACCGTAATCTTTTTGTTAAAATATTTTAATTTCAATATATTCTAATTTATTAACCAATGCATTTGTAGCGGTCTACAGCATATGATTGTTGAATAAATATTTGCTAAAATGCAGTATAAACACCTGTTAAAAGAAGTCAAACTGTTGCAGCTCCTTTTTGCTCTTCAGTGATTATGGCTAATAGACGATAAGATGTGGATATTAACTTAGACTGCTTGGATTAAGGCTCTAGTTGGCTGATTTACAGACAGGCTTGTAGTAGGCTATTGTAGGTTATAATAATCGCGAGCTTAAAATTAATGTATGAGGACGATTTTTTAATTCAGTAATTGTTACTTTCATTTGACAGAAAATTATTTTAAATCACTATAAATCTCTCATGCAAAAGACTAGTTTGGTACTAATAATTTCTTTGCTTTTGAATTTTAGGGAACGAGATGTGACATTTTTAAAATGTTTTCTCACCTCCTTCCTTAGATACAATCATACTAACATTTTTTGCTTTTCTATAATTTTGCTCTGCCAAATGTTATCCCACTTTATTTTCTTTTTAATTTGCCCCAGTTTGATTTAAATCTGACCCTAAGGTTGACTGGACTAAATCTAATCCAGATTGTTTTTATTAAGGCCTTACTTTAAAATGTATTTAGCACCTTTGTCTCACTTTTTCTTGCATTCCTTTTTGTTTCAGGCTAACATGTGCATACCTGTCCTGTAAAGTGGATGAATTCAACGTGTCCAGTACCCAGTTTGTTGCAAATCTCCTGCAGGAGACTCCAGCAGGACAGGAGAGAGTCGCAGAGCAAATCCTAGAGTACGAACTACTACTTATCCAGCAGCTGAATTTTCACTTGGTGGTCCACAACCCCTACAGACCCATGGAAGGTCTTCTTATTGACCTTAAGGTGTGTGTTCTTCCTCTTATTATTTATGAATATTTTCCAGGAAATCATCTAAAATTTAATAAGGGTATTTAACTAATTAACTTATTTTCTCCTCTCAGACTCGATACCCAACACTGGAGAACCCGGAGTCACTGAGGAAAAGTGCTGACGACTTCCTTTCCCAAGCAGCCTTGACGGATGCAGGACTTCTGTTTTCTCCATCCCAGATTGCTCTGACATCTATTCTGAACAGTGCTTCTAGAGCTGGTCTCAACATGGAGAGGTAGACCACTTCTCATCCAACAGTGATCAGACATTTACACTGAAATGTCATTTAAGGCAGCAATAAAATATATATAAACCAGTAACTGAAAGTTCTTTTACAATATCTCCCCTCTAGCTATCTAACTGAGTGTTTGGGTCTGAAAGAGGACAAAGAGACACTTTCTAAGCTGTATGAATCCATGAGACGTGAGTGAAACCTACCTTCCCTTTTTCCCCACAAGATGGCGATGCTGAGCTGTTTCACAACCACTTCTGCTCTGATTTGGGTGTTTTGTCTCTCTGTAGGGATGAAAACCCTGCTGAAGAAGTATGAACTTCCCAAGCAGGAGGAGCTGAGTTTTTACAAACAGAAGCTGGAAAGAATTCATGCTGAATTTGCTACTTCAAGCAAGTAAGGAAATAAAGAAAGTTCAATTTGTTTCTGTGCTTCCTAATTGTAGAATGTGTAGTCAAATGTTCTATCCTATAAAAAAATAAACAGGGATGGTTATTGCTTTAGTATGATTTACATTAAAAGTGGCATCTGCATCACAAGGGTTGCATAAAATAGTCAATTAATATCACTAAATTCTTTGTTTTATTAAGTGTTATCAGTTGTATTATTTCCCCAAACCATGCCCATGTTAATAATTACAGGTATTCGGTTGTCTGTAGTAACAGATTTATTTCAGTCAGGTTGTATCTAAGATGCAAAAGGTTCAAGGTTCAGTCTTAGGTAGAAAAATAAAAAGGAAAACATCATCAGCTGTATGAAAAACAGAGAAGCCACAGCGCTACTCTAATCATTCACACCATAAAGCATTGCCTGTTGCTGACTTATAGGCTTAGTGGTTGTGACTTGTCACTTTTTTTTTTTCAGTGGTTTGCTAACACTTGGTGAGGTCCACAGTATCTTAAGTGCAACTACAGTTTGCTGTTTGGTAAACGTTGGAGCTACGGCAGGCACAGATTCCGAGTCTGCAGCGGCTCAAGGCAGACCTTTACGACTTTAGAAAGCCGATAAACCTGTGTGAGGCGTGACTCTGTCAGGATTGAGCTGTATGAAGAAACAGTCGTAGCAAAGTTGTGAGGAAACGCCTCCTGTGATGGCGGCAAAGTTAGAGGAAAAACTGCAATTATCGAAAGCTTTTTTCTTTAAAAGGCATAGAAGGAACAAAGGTGATGGTGTGTTAGAGCAGCATATATGTAGGCCCATTTTATATCAGGATCAACACATGCACAGGTTCTAGGTATGTTCAACAAACATGTAGACCTCTCAGCACTGTTCTGCTATGTCATAAACAAGCATTTCCCTACAAGCCTAAATACAGAACATAGAAAAGCAGTATATATAAAAAAAAAAAGAACAGGTTGAATACGTGCTGCAAGGAAAAACAAGTAGTGTCAGTAACAATGGTTTGGTAGCTTAGAAAAATCTGGTGAACGGGTGGTGAGTAGAAAGGGAATTAAGGCCTGTGTTGTCTTGGAAAGAGGTGCTATGTTTACTCCCTGATGAGCAGAAATCGCTGCTTCAGTGCTTTGGATTTTCTCCCCTCCGACGCATTTCCCATAGAGGAGTCACCAAACAGGAGGCCTGTTCGCTCTGCTTCCCTTCCCTTAACTGCTGAAGACTTGTGAGGAAGTGATAAACCAGGATAAAATGTCAGATTTCCACAGTGCAGTCAGAGTGAATCCTCTCTGCAAGGTTTCCCGACAGTTTGACGGATTTGGATTCAAAAAAGGGCTTTGGAGAGACGATATGCAGGACAGTGACGTTGCATTTGTATCGCCACACGCGCACAGTAAAAACTCGCTCAGAGTCCTTAATTTCCCCGACTCGTGGAATGAGGCGTCACTTTGGCTGCAGGATCTGATTACAGGTGGAAAGCCATTAAACTCACATTACCTGGATGGCAGCAGCTAGTGACATGATGGTGCACTCTGTCCTGTAAAATAAAATAGACATGTTTGTGAAAGACACAAGCTGGACTCACATTGAGGACAGCTAGTTGCCATGTATGGGGTTTACTAGGCTATATGACCATGAAGATGGGGAGCAAACTACTACTGGGTGAAATATGGTGGACCAAAAGTGCCACAATTCAATACATTTAAAGTTTTGATAAAATTACTAGACAAAAAGTCAGTTAATAAAAAAAAAACTGTTATTGTATTTTGCAGTTTCAGTGCTATATTTTGTTTTTTTATAGTTGTATATTAAATCTTAAAGATGTAGGCAAAATTGGACTTGCTGTTCTACTGGAGGATCAGTGATAACTGTTAAATCATTCTGTAATTGCATTTCAGGAAAACAAAGACAAAATTCATTGTTATTTTCCAATATCTCAGAAGTTAAAGAGGCATCTATAGTTAAGATATATCAATGTGGCACATTTGGTATGCCGTAGATTTATGGACGCTTAAGACTTCCTAAACAGACACGGAACATGAAGTAGGTCGCATGTGGTTTTAAGAGCCTTTACTACTGCTTCTCTTTACGAACATGACCTTTGTTGCAGCAAACGGAAGCGAGGATACGAAGAAGATGGCCATGTAGCAAAAGAACCTCGTTTAACCGAAGAGGTTGGATATTTTTTTCCTCATTTTCTAATATGAATTTAAAATTTTCCACAGGAATTTTTATTAATCAGCGATTTTATTTAATTTCAGGACTGGACTGATGAAGATCTCATGTGAGCTTCAACCTGTTTTAGAAAGAGATTCAGTATAAGCCCCAAATTAAATGTACATTAGTGGCTTTTTTTTCTTCTTTTCCATTGAGAATAAAGATATTTTTTCTATATTTTGTCAGAAGTTTTCTTTAAACATAAGTGCCACATTATCAATGTACGTGTCAAACTCTGAGGGCACAATAAAAGACTCCATAATCTACTTTACAAAAACAGTTTAATAAGTGCATGCATGTCTGTTATACAGTCTGTATTTAAAAACAAAAATACTGCTGTAAACTTTGTATTTTACTTGGTTTCTTTGATTATGTGTTCTGTCTGGCAATGGGATGTTTTTAAACAGAAAAAGAAGCCATAGCCAAATAATCAAATATAACTGATACAATTATGACAAAAAAAAAATTCAGCTTATCTCACATATACTCATGATTCCAGCAAGAGAATTTATTAATATAAAATAACCAAAAGTTTTCTGCAAGGCTTTGAAACAAAGGGATGTTTCTTTCAGCGTTTTGCAGATATAGTCACCTTAAAATTAATCAGTAACTAATTACAGTATAAAAAGCATCATTGCTCAGAATCCAGTTTACCATTAAAGGGGTTGAGAGAACTAGGCTTCTTCATGTCAGTTTCCTCACACCAAGTTGAAAGTAGTGGACCATAACTTTGGCAATCTGTGCCCTTAAAGCACAGCAGGTAGAAGGAAACCATATACACTCATATTTGGTCCTTATGTTGAATGAATGTAATGCATCACAGTTATGAACAACGTCCAACGAGGAGAAATGAAGCAATCAGTCATAGATGCTTTTTTTTTTTTTTTTCATTTACTATTTTTAAGAGCCAAGTTGCTCAGATGCTGCGGTTGCATAGTTCTCATGTGTAGAACAAGACAAGGATGATAGATGAGGATGGGTGGGTCTATCGGACGAAGACATGATGAGAGTAGTTCCGCTGCGATGAGGGAAGATCATGCTAGGTCTCCTTGGGGCGACCAATCCGGGGAGGGGAGGTGATTTTGGTGCAAAGGATGAGGAAATTGGGGGGGGCAACGGACTGCAGTACTACCTGTTGCTGTTGGACATGGCGTACTGAGCCTGCTTCTGCTGGAGGAGCTCTGTGATGGCCAGGAGCTTTTTCAATACGTGCTGAACAAAAAAAAAAAAAAAAGCAGATTATCATTTCTAGAGTAAAAAAAAAAAAAATGTGAAAGTAAAGCTGTTCCTCTTGGTGTCTGACCTGCTGCGCTCCCCTTTCGTTGCTCAGAGTGCGAAGCTCATCCGAGTGCGTGGCACAGACCTCGTGTAGGGCGGCCAGGTCCCGCGACAAGTCTGTCCTAAAGAGCTCTGGTTGTTCAGGGAGATCAGGGACGTTCTGCAAACAATCATCATTGTCTATTAACTATAAATTTAACATTTCCCCAAATTTCACAACAAATTATTAAGAAGATGATCAAACATAAATTCTGACATGTGCATCTCCACATAAATTCATTTTTAACTTTATTTCACCTCAAAGAAAACTGGACAGCTTTACTTCTGTATGACTTTACATAGAAAAAAGAAAATGAGACTTACTCCTAACTCATCCAGAAACATTATCATTCTATGCTTGTTGTTCTTAATAAAGGGGTTAACACCCTCCATGTAGGGTTCCTGTGAAGCAGAGAGAAAAAAGAAAATATTACTATTGCTCAAAAACTTTAAATTACACTTAAAAATGTAAGTGCAACTGGAGAAGTTTCGGACCTTGGCACCGAATTCAACCAGGTTGGCCAGATTCTGAACAGACTTGGCCACAAGTGTGAGAGTCCTGGCTGCTGTTGGAGATGGAGGGTCTAGGAAAAGAAGAGGAGGGATTAAATGGATAACTAGCAGCCCTGTGATGGTAGAAATCAAAAACCAGTGTTTGTGAAAAGCTGCTTACCGGCAATGATGTTGAACATTCTGGGGTTGAGAATGGCCGGGCAGATCAGCCGTAGAAAGACGAAGCCACTGGAAAAAGGAAAGGATTTGTTTTGGTCATGTAGTTTGTTGGACTGCAGCGATATCTTATCCTGGATTTCTCTGCATACCTCACAACCCTTGTCCGCATGGTGTTGTTGCTGGGGAACTTCCGTTGAACAGACTTCTGCAGGCAGCCATAGATGAACCTTAACGTCCTGGTGAAGCAGATAGAAAATGGATTATTGAGCTGTAATGTCACTGAGATATGACAACTGTGTACTAGTGTCTGATCTTACGGTGGCAGGATGTCCGCAGCAATGAAGATCTTCTCCACAAGCTCAGACAATATGTTGAGGAGATGAGCCAGGTTAGTACTTACATCTTCATTCTTTTCCAGTTTGGAGGGATTTAACTAAAACAGGAAAGTCAGAGACAAGTTATCCTAATGCTTTAGTACTGGGTTAAGTTTAATCACAGGGTCTTGAAATAGTATTCAATCCTTGGGATGTTTTCACTTTTTGTAAAGTTACAACCATTTCTTTTGGTCTTTTATTTAGATTTTTTTATATACCAATGCAAAGTATGGCAGAACAATCATAATTTTCCTTAAACACCTTTTTTTCTGATTTTATAGATTTATAGATATTTATAGCATTAAGATCCTTCATTTATTACACATTCTGTGTAAGGGTCAGGTATAGCTCAGACGGATTTAACAGAGAGCAAATGACCATCAACGTTGAGGTAATTCTTCATATTTACTAGGGCTGCAACAACGAATCGATAAAATCGATTCTTTTAAAAGCGTTGGCAACGAATTTCATCATCGATTAGTTGTGTCACGCGATTAATGCGTCATCCGCCGCCATCACATCCACTTGACTGAAACGGGGGAAGAAAAAAAAAATATGGCAGAGCGATTCAGCGCCCCGGGTGCAGTGTTGTCAACTCAGCGACTTTTGAGACCCCTCGAGCGACTATTTCTCAAAAAAGTGACTAGCGACAAATCTGGCGACTTTTTACGGTGTCACTGGCAGCTTTTGGAGACTCTTACGTGAAAGCATGTATCGTTCCTACTCTGCCGTGGGGCTATTTTTATCTCTATGGTTAAGTATTTTCTCAAGTAGCAACTTTAACTGCTATACTTTCCTGTCTTAAAAGGCAGAACTGTTCTAGTCTAAAAAAAACTCATTTGTTGAAATGGGGGGACCTATTGTTTGAACCTATTGTTTGAACCT